TAGCTGGAATTTCCTCAAGGTAGATCCTGGTTTGCTCACAGTATCCACAGCAGGGAGAGAGGAGGGGCAGGAAAGGAAGTGCCATGCATGGACATGAGATCTATTTGAAACACTGATTCCATTGTTACTGAAAGTTTGGTCCTTGTCCCCAGTACCAATTCAATAATAAAGACAAGGTTTTGAGAAAAAGGAAAAAGAAATCATTTTGCTTTGCTAGCGAAGGAGAAACACAGGAGATTCCTGTCTGTGATTCTACACATCAGTGGGGACAGAGGGTTTTTAAAGAGGTGATTCAAAGGCTACATTCCAGGGGTGCACCTGATGGGGTTTCAAAATTTACTTGATAATTTGGGAGAGGGAAAAGAGGAAAAAACACATCCATTTTAGAATAAGCCTCAGTGGCTAAGCAGCAAGGACTATATTCAAAGCATGAAGAGGTCTACTGTTACACCATCTATTATTAAACCTGACCCAGTGAGGGTCATGCCATCTGACCTATAATTATTTCCTTTTTAAAAATAATTATACATGATAGTGGAATTTATTGTTCCATATTTGTATATGCATACAATATAATAATATAATTTAGTCTATTTCATTCCCTACTACTTTCTTTTTCCTTCCCTGGCTCCTTCTCTCTGGTTCCCTTCCACTATTCTACTGGTCTCCTTTCTATTAGTATTTCCTTTTCTTAGGAATGAATGAGGTAAGAGAAGGATAGAAAGACAAGTATCTTCCTGGTACAGGCAGAGGGACTGAGTGCTACCTTCTTCATTAAAATGAGAAATTATTCAGGCAAAATGGTTGTGGAAGAAACAGCAATTTTCCAGGCAGTGGGAAAATAATAATGTGGGAAAGAAATATGTTTGTTTGCAAGGAATAGCAGTTGAACTTAAACTAGCTTGAGCAACAAAGGGATTTTAACATGAGGATAGAAGAGTGTCTTATAGAACCCCAAAACAACAAGGCAAGTGAGGTTTTAGGAGTAAGCTGGAGCTAGGAACTCAACTGTTATCTGGAGTATCTCTCTCATTGCTGAATCTTACTGTGTGTCTGCTTCATCTTGCAAAACAGACTAGTTTTTTTCTTTTCTATTTCCCAGACCATATGACAGAAAAATGATTGCTACCAACAGTTCTCAATTTTATACTACTCAGCAGAAGAAAGCAACCATACTGGGATAAGATTTCTTAGTCTAGATTTCAGATTCCTGAGGAAGGACTATGATAGTCCCAGGTTATTTGGTCCACTGTGACCCAGAGATTACGTAACATGAAAACTCCTACATTTAAAATAGATGGAGTTGATGGGAAGAGAATCCCCCAAGAGAAAGGGAATATTCATTAAAGAAGAATTGGAAATAATATATTTCTAAGCATGAAGTGGGATATGGAGAATGTTAGATATAAGGTTGAAGAAGAGATGCTTTATGACGAGTAATATGGACCTTAAAGCATATTCAGTAGAAAAAAAGGAAAGAAGCCCACTTAGGAAGTTTTTGAAATACACCTGACAAAATAATGATGAAGACCTAAACTTAAGGCAAAAATTGTGGTAGTGCAAGTATAAAGGAAAAATGGATATAAAAAATTTAGGAGATGGAATCAGGAGGGCTTAATTAGATGTGTGACACAAAAGAGAGTGTCTGAAATGACAGGAATATATAGGACTCATGTGGGGGCCTGCATGCAGAATTGCATTGCTCCTTAAGATTATAATTCATTTTGCTTCTTTTGGTCTCAACAAGACATAATTTCAAGAAATCAACAGGCACAGAATAGACAGAGTGTTTCACATATCCTTTATTCACTATTGAATAGAGTACCAAACAAGATGAAATGAACTTTGTAACTAAAGTGGGCATCTTCAGTTGTCTGTATTGCTCTGATTTCTAGAGATGCCATTTTCACATGAATTGAAATAACTACAGGGAACTTTTGTCTATAACAGATATATATATATATATATATATATATATATATATACACACACACACACACACACACACACACACACATCTGGAAGAACTACAACAGACTATTCTAAGAGATAGATGAAGTACTTTTTTTATCCCCCTCTGCCTCCTTTTTCTTTACGCTCTATGTATGGAAATCTGGGTGAAATGTAGTTACAAATATCTTTTGCCTTATTTCAGACATAAAAGTAATATTTCTCCCTAATCTATGGATATATATTGATATCTATTCATTTATATCTATTTATTCATCTATCTCTTTATTTCGATGCTATTATCTACTAGAATTCCTGAACTAAGAGTCTTTAAGTATAGGATTACAGAATTATTCATTGAATCATTGAATTATTCAATGAAGATTGACTGAGGGCCTATTATGTGCCACATATTATTGTGAATATTGAACAAAGCCAACAGGAATGCCTGTTCTCATGAAGCTCCTATTCTGATTATATAACTTATTCCTCTTTGGTGCATATTTGCACTTTATTTTTCAGGAAAAGCTATAGAAGTCTTGGCATAACACGTAAAATGCTCATAAGACAGCTATTTCTGAGAGAATATGAAATCATTATGTGATGGTACCAGTGTTTCCCTTTTGGGAGTTATTTTGGGAACTGAACAAAGAAAAACACATTGGCATGGAAAGATAATGGGCTCAGGTAGGGATACATTGAATTTGAATTGCTTGGAGGTATCCAAAGCAATGTCTAGTAGGCACCTGAATATACTCAAATCTATTCTGACCTAGATCTCAGGAGGGAAGTCTGAGCCATCAATATAGATTTGAAAGGTATTCAAGTACAGGGAATAGATTTCAGATAGTAGAACAAGAGAAACAGGCCAAGCACAGAACTGTGGAGGAACACCAACATTTAAGGAGTGGGTAGAAGAAAAGGCTATGAAACCTATAGAAATTAAAAAGGTAAAAAGGAAGGAAACCAACAAGAAGAATGTGTGTCCCAGAACCAAGTTAGTATACAATTTCAAGCAGACCAAAGTGATCAATATTATCATGTGCAGCAGTGAGATCCAATAAGAAAAGTGTTGAAAGTTCCCAGTACATAAAGAAATTTGTCAGTATTTGGTGCTTTTAACAAAAGAGGTTTTAGAGGTGGAAGTGAAATCCTTACTACCATGTTTGAGAGGTGAATGGGAAGTGAAGGAATAGAGGCAATGTATGTAGATAAATAACTCTGAGAAGGAAAGTTGATAGGATAACTGAAGACACATCTAAGAAACTAAAGAAGGGTCCAAAATAAAGGAAGAGTATTCCTTTTAACAATGGAAGAACATTGATTAAGTTTTATAGGCTGAGGAGAGTGACGCACTAGAGAGAAGTGTAGGATACTGGAATCATAAAGTAAAAGCAACAGGGCAAGATCTCTGAGGGGCTGAATGAGTCTAGGATCAGGAGCTCAGATTGACAATTTAGTATTACACATGCTATGTGAAACTGCAGGGATAAAGGTTTAACATGGGAGCAGATGCAGATTATAGGTGAGAAAATTTCCTGTTAGCTTTATTTTTTAAAGGAAAGTACAAATTAAAGCCACTCATTCGGTGGTGGGCTTGAGAAATAGGTGATGAAGTCATCAGTAAATGTGGAAAATGGTTAAGGATGGGAATAATAGTAGGACAGAACTGGAGAGAGATTGCTCAGGAAAAAGTGAAAGGATTGCCAAGCAGTACTGAGTCAAGAAACTAGATCTGTGGTGACACAAATTTCCATTAAAAGGTATTGTCTTTTGCTTGACAATCTCCATGACCAAACGCTGAGTCAGGCTCCTCTGAGTCTTCTTAATTAAGACTTGAAGTTGGGGTCTGCCTTTGACCCACTTAGTTCAGTTTTAGCAAGAATCTTGAGTCAGTATGTTAAAAATGATCCTTCCTTGTTATCTGATCACCCTTGATATCTGATCAGACTCCTTATATTCCATTCTCATTATGGTCTTGCTTTAGCAAAAATCCTGTTGATTAGGTTTAGCAAGAAGCCCTCTAGCAGGGACTAGAGTTGTGGCTCAGTGGTAGAGCACTTGCCTAATAAGTGTGAGGTACTGGGTTTGATCTTCAGCACTACATAAAAAATTATTTTAAAAACAAGCCCTATAGGCTGTAGGGTTCATATAGATTACTTACCCAGGTGAATCTTGGGATTTTCTACTTTCTTCTGTATTATAGGCAATGATGAACTACTAAAAAATAGCTCTAATTTTTACTGAATGCTTACTCTGTGCCAGAAGAAGTTATGTGTTAAGTGCTTTACAGGCATTCTTTCATTGAACTTTCATAACTATTCTGTAAGTACTATGATTATCCCCGTTTTTCTAGCTGAGGAAACAGATTCAGAGAGGTTCAGCATCCTAACTCAACAAACAAAACAAAAACAGAGCTATTCAGTGGTGGAACAGAAGTTTAAATTTGGTTCTAACTCCAAAGTCCATTCTCTGAACCAGAGAAGTGAGAATAGATGACGTACAAAATCATTCTGATAGAAATATGATAAAGGACTGAAGGGAGACAAGTCTAAAGGCAGGGAGACCCTAAAGGATACTGTTGTGGTAGTCAAGATTTTTTAGGCCCCATTAAGGGGGTTGTCCCTTAATCATGGGAGTTTTGCAGACAAGTGACATGGTCAGATGAGTTATTTAGAAACTCCCTTTGGCAGGCCTTGTGAAAGATAATTGGAGGAGGCAAGACTAAAGGCGGCGAAATAAGTAGGGAGGTTGTTGAACTCTTACTCTAACTGCCCAGGTGCCTGTCCTGGGGCTGGGAGATGGTGGTATTCCAATTCCCCAGCCCTTTCGAATTGCAGAGCAACCTGGACCTCTCCCTGTCCCACCCTTCCTTTGACATCACTCCATTCAGGTTCCCAAAAGTGGGGTTTTGCGCACTTTTCTAGATGGCAGACTGGCTAGTCCGAGCTCTTGACAGTGGCGCCAGCGGTGGCGGCGGTCGCCGGCGGGGGTGGGGCGCATGCGCGCGGTTGCTAGGCAACGGCGGTCGGGGCGCCGCGGCGGTAACGGCGCCAGGGCTGTGTGTGTAGGCAGCGGCGCCAGAGGAGGAGGAGCACGAGGATGCAGCTGCGACCGCGGCCCCAAGAGGGAGCCGCCGCTGCTCTGTGGCCGCGGGGGCCGAGGGACGGAAATCAGGCCTGGGGGTCGTGTCGTTGAGGGGACCCGGGGCGGCGGTCCCGCCAGAGGCTCGGGCCTAGTACCTCCGGAGGGTCCGGGCCCCTGGGCGAGGGCCTGCCCCCCCCTCCCCCCCGTTGCCTCCCCTGGTCTCTCCACGTCGATGGTGGTGAAGTTGGCGGCGCCAAGGAGCGCAAGGCACCGGGCTGCCTCTCTTGCACCCAGCTTCTCTTTGGCCCCGGCTCTGGGACACCTGCGCTGCTGCCTCCTCTCGCCCGCCGAGCCCACTCTGCGTGGCGGGCGGGGGAGGGGCTCCCCCCTGCAGAGACTGCGTCGAGCAAGGCGATGACCAGGACCTTAGAAGAGTAGGGGTGAGTAGTGGCACCACACTCGCCCAGTGCTGGATCGCCTTCCTGGCTTCCGGGGCCCCGGGAGGCGAGCGAAGCGATTTCTCCTGCAGAAGCTTCTGATGCTTCTCCTACATCTCCTCTCAAGCTCACTAATCCCTTCGAGGTAGTTTTCCTTCTCAGAGTCATGACTTTCTGGGCTAGACCCTGGTGTCCAGGAACGTGGAGTCTGTGTTTAAGGCCTGGCTTTGCTTCTTAGATGCCTTAGATGCTGATAATTCTACGTACAGTCACGCAGCTTGGTCCTTGACTCGGGGACTTACTCTCCCAGTGCCATGCTCGCCCCTTTCCCTTCGTTCTGGCTCTGGCTTTTGCTCTCGCGAGGCTCAGCCTGACCTACAGACTTTTCAGGAGCCATTCTCTAGGCTGCTGTCTTTTCTTGACTCAACGCTTGAACAGCTAGCTCGAGTGGCCCCTTACTTTTCAGTGTTCTTTCTACTCGTGTGCCAAGAGCTTCTGAAAGCCTGTGCCTGGCTTCTGACTCCTGAGATGTAAAAGTACGAAGATAGTACTTACATTGAATGGTAATGCTAAAACAAACTAGCAACACTAGTCACTACTCGACTTCCAAAGTGCCATCAAACTTGAGAAGTAGGCAGAGTAGATGATTGATAACAGGGGAATTAGGCTTTACAAACTACTCTTCATCCAGAATGACATACTTTTTCTTTTATAAATATGTTGATGAAACCAAAATGTTCCAAATAAAACTGAGGATGGGTCATTGTGATCTCTTGTTACTCCTGAGGTAGCCTGCAGTTGAAAATAGTCACTTCCAAAAACACTGATATGGGTGCGTTTTGAAAAGGAAAGACATTATCTCTGAGGAGTGATATTTTTCTTTAAAAGTAGGTGGTCGAAATTTTCAGTTCATAATTGAACCCTTTCAAAAGTGAACTGAATTTAAATTAAATAGTAATTCTGATTGTAAGGTGCTCTGAGCAGACAGTCAATGATGGATTTCTTCTTTTCTTTGGTTCTCTTCCCTCCCTACTGGTATTAAGCCATTTTAGGTTCCTTTATCCAAGAGAAGTGGTGAAAAAAAGGCAGAATAATGGAAAAGCCAAATTTAGTTTTTAGCTTAAAAGCTAAAGATATTTAAAAGTATATAGATGCCATTTGTGATTAGATAACTTTATTTAGTGAATCTGTTAAGACTGCCAACTCCCTGATAGTTTTTGGGTGAAATACTTTGCCTTGGCAGCATTTTTGTTTGAGCTTCTCTTGGTTATGGTTTAAAGCACAACATAATTCTGGTACTACTGGAAAATGATCTTGGTCCTCAGTGTGTATTGTTTGTTTTGTATACTGGCAATCTGGAGTACTTCTAGTTGCTACATTCCAAAGTTAAAGATTTTTTTGTTTTGTTTTGGACAATCTCTTGATGATTATTTTGAATAATCATAACTTTGAATTATTTGAAATAATGATGTGCCATATGAGTAAGTACTGTTCACTTTCATGTACTTGCAGAACCAGGAAGTGATTGGATCCAATATATTTCTATTGTAATGAATATGGCTAGGTAGGCACCAAATACACACGAGCATTTAACAAGGTTGTCATAACCAAGTGGCAAATTAATATTGATAGCTCATTTTGCAGGTGCAGTCAGAGCACTTGACCAATGAACTCTGGAATGAGTTTTTTTTTTTAAGTTACTTTCAAGAAGCTTTAATTTCAAGCTTCTGTTCATTACTCACTACTGTCCTGCATACTGTGGAGGACAGAACAAAATATATATATGAGACATCATAGTCAATAATTGAGACACAGAACATTGCAGAATAAGAACTAAAAGAATTAAGAGTTAAGAGAGATCACCAGAGGCTGGGTTTTGCCTGAAAAGGTTTTATAGGAAAAATCAGTCTAGATTTTGGAAATATAAGCTTTGTTGGAAGGGGAAGGAATTCAGCATAGCATGAGCTAAGGTACTTGATTTTCTAATGCTTGTGTTTAGTATTCTCTTAGGTAAACCTAAATAAGGAAGGGACCATCAATGGCAATTAAGTTCTTTGTAGTGGGCATAATTTTCATTGATAGATTACATAGGAAATTAATAAATATAAATAATTTAACAAATGTTCCTGCTATAAAAGTCAGACTTAAAAACAACTGTTCTATTTCCTGGAGCATATGAAAATGTTTTCTAGGTAAGTATAGATAATTAAGTTCACATATTTTTATGATATGTACATTTTTACTGTTCATTTTGTACTATCTAGGAAGAGACAGTTATAACTTAAGTGTTTCATAAAAAACTGGTCTGATAAGTACAACCTTATGTTCTTAGTATGCTCCAAAGACTACTGGACAAATTCCATAAGCAACATGAATTTTGGTTCATTAAAATATACAATAACTTAGTTTTTAGCATTACCATTTAGTACTACTATTTCTATCATTTTCTGAAACAAAGGGGAGAGATATGTCAGAGGCCTGAATATTTATACCTGTCAAAGCTGTAATATTATTAATAAGGCAAATATTAATAATTGGCAGCTAATATCAGTATTTAAAATACAATTACACTCAGCAACTTATGGAGATCCTGTCTCAAAATGAAAATAAAAATGACTGGGAATGTGGCTCAGTGGTTGATTGTCCCAGGATTCAATACTTGGTACCAAAAAAGAAAAGAAAAGTCTACTGTAATTACTGATGGTCCCTGTCTTAGTATGGTTTCTCTTACAATTTTTTAACTTTACAGTGTACACTGGTGCAAAAACAATATGCAGTAAGTAGAAACTACTTTTAATTTTGAATTTTGATCTTTCCCAAGGCTTGCAATATGTGCTTCAATATTCTCTAGCACTGGGCATGGTGATGCATGCCTGTAATCCCAGAAGCTCAGGAGGCTGAGGCAGGAGGATCTTGAGTTCAAAGTCAGCCTCAGCAAAAATGAGGCACTAAGCAACTCAGTGAGACCCTGTCTCTGAATAAAAAATACAAAATGGGGCTAGGGATATGGCTCAGTGGTTGAGTGCCCCTGAGTAATATGTAATATATATATATTGTGTGTGTGTGTGTGTGTGTACACACACACTCTAGCAATGTTGGGCAGCTGCAGTGAGCCATGACTTTCTGTCAGCCATGTGATCATGAGGAGTAATAACCTCTACTCTATACTGTGTTGCTAAGCAATGTTCAATAGGTTAAGTGTATTAAGTGCATTTTCCCATGATATTTTCAACCTGTGATAGTTTTGTTGGGGCATAACTCCATCATACATGAAGGAGCACCTATATTGTATCAAAACAGAGGCATGTCTTCCAACAGAAATTCACATTTTGGAATTAACCAGGATGCATACACTTAAGGAACAATATAGCCAAACTTGAAAAAAAAAATGTTTTTGAGTACTAGGATTAAACTCAGGGACACTCAAGCACTGAACCACATTCCTAGCCCTATTTTGTATTTTATTTAGAGCTAGGGTCTCGCTGAGTTGTTTAATGCCTCGCCATTGCTGAAGCTGGCTTTGAACCTGTGATCCTCCTGTCTCAACCTCCCAAGCTGCTGGGATTATGGGCATGCACTCCCGCTCCTGGCTCCCAACTTGAGGCTCCAAATTTTTGAGGTTTTTATACACTATCTTGTACCTTTCATGTGGTATCTTTTGCTACAGCATTAGTCTTCTTTGATTAAAATTACTTCTTAGATTTTAATTCACAGTAGCTTAAAGTTTCTAGATTCAACAAGTAAAATTTTTATTTCAACTATTGTCTACTTAGCAGGTCTGATAATAGTTAAGTAAATCATATTAGAGAACATAATGATCCATTCAGACTCAGTCCACAAATATATGATTATTGTTGGAATTCAACCAGTTAACAAGTAGCGAAATGTATTCAGAAGTTATTGAGGTAAATCTCCCTTGCTAAACAAATGTTGCACATTTCTATTCTTAGCTTCTTATGCCAGTATCAAAAGGAAGATCTTTTGAAAGAGAACTGGTGAATTGAAATGATGGAGAAACTGCTGAGACAATGAAAAGTAATTTAATTCAAGTTCTAAGTACTATGATGGTTTAAGGTGCATATCTTAGTTGATGACAGCATGTGAAACAGGGTAAAGAACTGTCAGTTTCTGTACATCTCATCTAATTACTGAGTCCTGATGAAGAACAACATTATACTGAGTACTAGCAATGTATTCATAAGTTTTACTTTTTCTTAAATATGTAGTTTTACAAGTGTTATTCTATTCTATGATCTTTTTGTGGGTGTGTCAAATGACCATTTTCCAGCTGAGCACATCTGTACATTTTATGATGGAAGGTTATCAGAAATACGTCTTTTTCCCCAACTATTCCTTTGGAGTAAATTGTCCTAGAACATAACCTTTTTCATTAAGTGAAAGATACCAATAGCAAAGATACTTCAGTGTAGGAAAAGAGGTAGACAGTGGAATTCCTTCTTCAAATACTGTGCCTACAAATAAAACAAAACCCTTCATATATAAATTATCAACTAATATTCATTGGAGCTGTCTCATGTACTGTTATCATTCTCTTAATGTCATATTATGCCTTGTTAACTCTTTGAAACATGGGCATCCAAAAGTTCCCCTGTGGTCTGATTCGTTATTTTCCTACCCACAAATGTACCTCTGGAATTAATTTTGTTGTTGATAATATTGTGTAATAGAAAATTTTGTAACAAATTGTAGTTGCAATAAATATTAACTGAAACCAGGAATTGTGAAATAATTAATAATGATGAAATGGCATTTTATAACAACTTTAATTTAAAACCACTGTAGAGTAAGCATTAGTATATCCATGTATTTCATGATTGCTTTTTCTATTTCTATGAGGAATGTCATTGGAATTTTGATCGGAATTGCATTAAATCTGTATAGTGCTCTTGGAAGTATGGTCATTTTGATAATATTAATTCTGCCTATCCAAGAGCAAGGTAGATTTTTCCATCTTCTAAGGTCTTCTTAGATTTCTTTCTTTA